TTATTGATAACAACCCAGGCTATAAAGGGTTTAAAAAAAGCCTACGTTAGTAAACAATTCCGGGTTGCTCAATGACAAGGGAAGACAACTCTAGAAAATAAAACAACAAAGTGCGTTAACTCTAGACAAAATACCACGAGAAAATAACCCCTTGCAAATGCGAGACACATTCCCAGATAGGATCAAACGGGCTTGTTTAATTAAAACCAGAAGAACAAACCGTGACGGCGCATCCGAGGAGAGAACGGGAACGACGCAAGGAACGACATCAAATATGTATCCTCACAGAAGGAGCATGCCCAAATCTGATTGAATTATTGAGATGGGTGTACCGAGAAACGTCGTGTAAAAGCGATCAGGACGGGACATATGTTACCCGTATGTTGACGATACTCCGGAACTAGATGAGGAGTTTTTATTATTATTTTAAACTTCTGGCAAAAAAAAAAAAAATCGTACCGAAACAAATAAGGCAGGGCGAAAATTTAAATGAAATCCCAAATTCCCGTACTGGTTAGCACCTGAGGAAGCTTCAACGACAACATCACACACGGGGCAGGGCGAAAATTAATTCAAAACACTTTGAAACGATGGAGTGTAAACACGAGCTTTGGTGGATCGAGGCGCCATCTACGCGAGTAATTACGGCGTGGGGAGTTACGCCCCCCTTGGTCGTGAGCTGTTGGGTAAATATTACACTCGGGGGGGTAAAAAGCCGGAGCAGTTTTTGAAGACGGATTAGCTGCAGGATACAATCTTCTTTGCAGTTTGGGGGGTTTTGAAGCGCAGGGGACAGTTCGGACAATGCAAATTCTTTAAGTCTTGGAGTACAAGCAAACGGGTATTAGCTGCTGCGGGATTATAGGGCGAGACCCGTTCATCTGGAGTGACCCTAAAGGTCAAGTACAGCCCAGGGCTACGCTGCAGCTCGGGGATTACTTCCCTTTGCTCCTTCAATCAGAAATGTTGAGCAACTTTCTAAAGTGGAATATGAGAATATGCGAGCGGCGTGATGGTTGGAGGGGTGGGGTATACGAGTTGTAACCAGATATATGTGGTCGCTTCCTAGTGTTAAGTTGGTGTTCTTGTAGATTATATTCACTTATATACATGTATATACATATGCTATTCGAAAAAGTATACTATATCTACATTATTACTATATAGCCAAGGCTTATATGATATAATAATATACTTAAACAGAATACAAAGCGAATGTCGTAATCTAATTGTCGTTAAGAAAAGCGAATTGCAAACGGCACAAGATAGGATGTTAGGTACAACGGGACATTGTAGAAGTTACTTGCCCAGGATAAAGTTGCATGGAAAGTCCATGGCAAGTTCCTGTCTATCTACTTCTGGTAAGACAGGCCTAATATGGCTACATCATCAGGCGAAAATTGATCAATGAAGAAACACGCCAAACTACTAGCTATTGTTTCACATATGTCTTGACAAAAGTAAATATTCCTCTTTAGACATAACGATCCATTGGGCAGATGAAGTAGATTTCATATATATATATATATATATATATATATATATATATATATATATATATATATATATATATATATATATATATATATATATATATATATATGCCCAGCCGCCTTTACTTTCCCTAACTTGAGTTAGAGCGGGGTAAACTCAAGGACATTCCACTGACAGAATAAACAAACGCTTCACTCGTCTATCAGAACAGCCACTTATTTTATTAAATATCACGATTTAACCCTATGCCACCTGAACCGGAAGACCCTGACGACAAGTATCTTATTAACCCTTGTTTTAACTCTCAATTTCTCCCCACAATTTTCGCCTCTAAAACATTAACCCTTTCCGTGCCGGCTTGCGAGAGAAGAAAAAAAATGGCGGCGTTCTCCGATGGACGCAGATGGAGGTCCGCGAACGTCTCAGGAGAAACGTTAGGTTTCAAGTGTCTCATTAGAATCAAAGACCACTTCTGCCTTTTCAGTCACGTGACCGGCGTGAAGAGTTGTCAGACAAATCACTCATTGTTCGAATCGGAGGAGGGGTGGGGTGGATAATAGAGGGGGGGGGGTGTGAGGGTGCCGATTTTTTAGCTTTACGGACTATAATTTCTTTGAATATATAACTTTATCAAACAGTTTAATTTCTCTTTCGTGTAGTTAACCTAAAGAATTATCTAAACGAGTTCGACATATTAGAAAAAATTACTCTTTTATCCTGATATAAATTGTGTTGTTTTTTATACGTAGTCCCATACTTTCACTCTAAAGACCACACGCAAAACTTTTTTTCTCTCGCATTTGTTTTTACTCTCTCTTTCGTGTAGTTAACCTAAAGAATTATCTAAACGAGTTCGACATATTAGAAAAAATTACTCTTTTATCCTGATATAAATTGTGTTGTTTGTTATACGTAGTCCCATACTTTCACTCTAAAGACCACACGCAAAACTTTTTTTCTCTCGCATTTGTTTTTACTCTCTCTTTCGTGTAGTTAACCTAAAGAATTATCTAAACGAGTTCGACATATTAGAAAAAATTACTCTTTTATCCTGATATAAATTGTGTTGTTTGTTATACGTAGTCCCATACTTTCACTCTAAAGACCACACGCAAAACTTTTTTTTTCTCGCATTTGTTTTTACTCTCCTGTCTTTTCCTGTCTCATCCTAAGCCAGCTTGCACCCAATGCTCCAAATATCAACCTTACAGCACAAAAAATAAAACCTAATTTATTCTAAACACACACACACATTCACACACACACACACACACACACACACATAAACACACAAAAGCAAGACAGTAACAGATCGGGTTGTCCATACACCATACATTACTCCACATTTTCTATGACACTTCTTGTCAACCATTCTCGTCTACACACGTATATTTACAACCTGTCTAATATGCTGCATATCAGCATGGACAATTCTAACACAACAATCCCCCCACCCCCCTCACCCCCGTGTAGACGGATGTACACCGCATACACTTAACGCGTACACCACACAAACTCCAGCGCTTACACATCTATACCTATCACAATACAAACTTAACGCCAACACCAATTTTCATTACACACCTAACACCACCCTCTATCACATCCCTAACACACCCCTAACCCCACCCTCTTTAACACCCCTAACACACCCCTAACCCCACCCTCTATAACAACCCTAACACACCCCTAACCCCACCCTCTATAACAACCCTAACACACCCCTAACACCACCCTCTATAACACCCCTAACACACCCCTAACCCCACCCTCTATCACACCCCTAACACACCCCTAACCCCACCCTCTATAACACCCCTAAAACACCCCTGACCCCATCCTCTATCAAACCCCTAACACACCCCTAACACCACCCTCTATTTCACCCCTAACACACCCCTAACCCCACCCTCTATAACAACCCTAACACACCCCTAACACCACCCTCTATAACACCCCTAACACACCCCTAACCCCACCCTCTATCACACCCCTAACACACCCCTAACCCCACCCTCTATAACACCCCTAAAACACCCCTGACCCCATCCTCTATCAAACCCCTAACACACCCCTAACCCAGACCCTCCTATCACACCCCTAAACCCACCCCCCTATCACATCCCTAACACACCCCTAACCCCGCCCTCTATCACACCCCTAACCCCACCCCTAACACACCCCTAACCCCACCCCAGTAACACCCTTCTAGGACCGCAGTCAGACCTAGAGCACATCCTAAAATCCCCCGCTTAAAAACCCCCACTGCCATTTGGTACTAACTAACCAACCCCAACCAGTTTCTATCAAACGAAGGGTTGGCCAACCAGAAACATATGTTACCGCTTTAATGACGAGGCCAAAAGAAGAATTATGGTTTTCTAATTTCGTTTCGGAGCCGAGACCATCACGAACGGAATTCCAAGTTTTTATTTTGTTTTATATTTTTTGCTTACAAAGAGAAATAAAACATACGGTGTACGTTGGTGGATTGGGGGGGGGGGGGTAAATTTCATTACGTGGAAAATGTGGCATGAAGCATTATAGGAACATGGATTTTGGGAATGTAGAAGAAGGAAGATGGGATATGGGATGTTTAGACATGGTGAAGGGGAACAACAAACATGGGATATGGGAGAACATGACTTCGATGCATGAGCAGGTAATAATATTATTTTAAAATGGGGTAAAAGTAGATAGAAATATAAAAATGGAATACGATACAAGAAGCATTGGGCTATGAAAAAGATATTTAAGGCATTGTGGGATACAGGTAGAGCAATAAAGACGAAGGTTGGAATATGGAGAAATATTTTAGAAAACATGGAACATGTGTAATAGAACAAAAAATATAAACGAAACAAAAACGTTGATATCGAAACTAGAAAAACCAATGAGATTAAAATATGGTACATGGATTAGGTAAAAATTTAAAAAAAAAAACAGATACCATATAGCGGTACAATATGTAACAAGTAGTAGGGGATAGGACACATACAACGTATAATACAGAATTGGAGTATTATAACACGAACATAAGAGTATGTAGAGCAAGTATGAACATGACAACGGTGGAACAAAGATGGAACATGACAACGGTGGAACAAAGATGGAACATGACAACGATGGAACATGGCGAGAATGGAACATGACGCTTCCAAGATCTAGCCACGATCGTTAGGTAAATCTCGTCAGCTTTATCGCCCCATCATTAGCTCTCTCTTGAACGTCAAGTTTCTCGCCACTTGAGTGTCAAGTTATGAAACACTTGACAAGAAATTAACAAGTAATTTTCTCGACGTAGATTTACAGGAGCTGAACTATAACAAGAAGTTGTGGGAAACTTAGTCGCACGAGTTAATAGAGACATTTCATATTATTGCTCATTATTCATGATTTGTTTCATTAGAGCCGATAATAACTAAACATGTGGAGCCTAATTCAGATTTATTTCCAAGCATTTAGCACCATCAGGTCGATGCTTAAGAAAGATAATCAGTACTCACCGATTTGTCCGCAAATCCTTCATCTTGTGTGACGTCACGCGACGCGTCATCCCCGCCATCTTTGTTCCCCCTCGTTTTCGATCCGTCCTGCACCGTGTTGCTGATGACGAACCCCACGCTGACCTTCTCCGTCTCCAGCCTCTCCACATCCGGCGGGGGTTTGGTCCGGCTCTGGATGTACTTCCGGCGATGGATGTCCGCGCGCCGGATGACGACGATGGTGATGATGACGGCGACGGTGACGATGCCGGTGACCACGCCCAGGATGATGACCACCATCACGTGCTCTTTCTCTTTATCCCGCCCTGCAGCCTCGGTTTCGTTGGGCGCGAATATGATGACGTCGAATGTGGTATTGGATACAAGCGGGTAGGTGGCGCTTTTGTCGGTGACGACAACAGTTAACCTATGACGCCCTGCGTCTTGGGAAGTTAAAGCCCGACTAAGAATCAAATCACCTTTGACTTTTGATAGTTCGAACATCGAGCGTCCGGAACTCGAGGCAAGATGGTACTCGAGTTCCTTGTTCGACCCGTCGTCTTCATCCTCCGCGAGAATACTCAACACAACCGCTCCAGGCTTGGCATCAAAAGCTACAGCAACCGTACTGTTCCCGCTACGTGGGTATATGATTCTGGGCTTGTGGTCATTCTGGTCGCCAATTTTAATCAAAACACTGGCACTTCCGGTCAGCGCCGGCTTGCCGTGATCTTCAGCGTAGACCGTCAGGCTGTACGATGACCTCTGCTCGCGGTCCAGCGTTTCCCGGGCGACGATCAGACCGTTGGGGAGGATTTGGAAAGGGGTGAGGGTGGGGGAGATGGAGTAGGAAATGGCGCCGTTCTCACCGCTGTCGTTGTCTGTGGCGGTCAGCTGTCCGACGGTGGTGTTCTCCTGCATGTTCTCCATCACTTCAAACACGTAGGAAGGTTTCTCAAAGACAGGGACCTCGTCGTTGATGTCCGTGACTTCGATAAGAACATCCGCCGTCGTCGACAGCCGCGGGACGCCGTTGTCGCTGGCCATGACCTTGAACTTAAGCACCGGCTGGGTCTCGTGGTCCAGGGGTTTCACGGCGATGATGTTGCCCCGGGGGTCGATTCTCAGCTGCTCCGGGGCGTCGATGAGGGTGTAGGTGATGCGGGCGTTGTCGCCGCTGTCGTTGTCGTTGGCGGAGACTTTGACAACGATCTGACCGGGCCGGTTGTTTTCCGGCACCGACTTTTGGTACACCTGCTCCGTGAAGTAGGGGGCGTTGTCGTTTTCGTCCTTCACCTAGACACAACGGAAACCGGTTAAAGATGTCAAGGTCGTGTTTTTATAAGAGACATCAAAATGTCATACAGAGCTTTAAAAACATAATAAAGACAAAATGATTTTGGATATTCAGTCACCTTTTGAATAAGGCATAACACAATAGTAATAACATTAGCAGGATTGGCTGTTTAGTATTCAGGCAATTTAATATGTGGAATGTATATATTTTAGTAACTAGTATAAATCACATCACTAGTTAGCTCAGGGACCTTATGCGTTTAATACCAGGTCACTCCCGGATTCAAACATTTACGCATAGCGTTTGTAATCATGTGTTATATTGTCTGACCACACCTTCCCTCTACTACTTACTATGAGAAAACAAATGTTGTCAATGTATTAATATCTTAACACATAATTTAACATGCCGGTCTCGGGTGGTTTCGTTCTTACCTTGATCATGAAGTTCACAGAATCAGACATCCGGGGACTGCCGGCGTCTTCACAGAAAATGGTGACGTTGTGCACAGGTTCGGCCTCCCTGTCCAGGGGCTTGACCACGATGACCTTGTACTCGTTGATAGACAGGGGCTGCAGCTCGAAGGCGTCGCTGACGATGGAGCAGGAGACGATGCCGTTGAGACCTGCGTCACGGTCTATGACGTCAATCAGTGCCACCACTGTACCTGTGTGTGGGAGGGGTGGGTGGGGGGAGTAAAGGTAGGTTATTAACAAGGGCAATAGTAAAAGTAAAGTAACATTTTCGAGCATGATCGTTTATATGACAGATGCAATCGTTTTTGTGACCTCAGCATACAGAGAGTTGGATATAAGCTATAGAAAGCTAGTTTCATGAACAACCTCATTTACTTTTCCTACCATGAATCAAGTACCTATAGGGCTGGTAAGCAGGTCACCAACCAGATCTATGGTTCATGCAGGTTTTATTGAGCCGTAGAACTGGTTGGTGACCTACTTACCAGCCCTATAAGAGATAGGTGGACTTTAGAGATACGACCAGACATCGAGACTTGCAGGTTAGCAGTTGTGTGTTGGACACCTTGACCACGCGTCTTATTATGTTTTGTCACCGAACAAATAATATTATCAGAGAGCCATCGATGTTACCTGATTGGGCCAACTCCGACACAGAGCCGCCAAACATGATGTTGGTGTTGATGGATGGCGCACTGTTGACTGTGTCCTCCACCGTCACATCCACTTCCGCTCGAGAGACCAGGGGCGGTAACCCTTTGTCCAGGCACTCTACAAATATCCTGGAAAATTGCAATCATATTCGTGCTAGAGAAGTTGTTTTCATCATCACCGAAGATCATTAGATTATAAATATAGATAATCTCATTATCAAAGATCATTACTGGATATCTTCATTTCTTCACTAAAGATCCAGACTGGCCTCTGAAGATCTCGACCTTTTACTAGAGAATTACATCAATTACTAAGGACAATCTCATCACCAGAAAAACACCCAATTGTTCCTGGAAAAGCTTTGACCAAACACAACCAACCCCTAAAACAAACTGCCTCCAATACCACTACACTCCACCTCCAACATACACCACCACCATCAGCCTTCACAACAACCAGCCTCCATCACACTCCACCACCACCACTCTCCACTCTCCAACACCACCAGCCACCACCATCCCCACCCTCCCCTACCCCCAACGTTCCCTACCCCTAGCCTCCACTCACCTGAATGTCTCGCCCTGTTTCTCCAACAAAGACCCGCTCACCACCATCTCCCCTGTGGACGAGTTCATAGCGAAATATTTCGTCACGTCTTCACGGTTGACTGAAGCAAAACGATACTCCTTGATCCCGTAGGGTGGGGTGTCAAGGTCAGTGGCTGTCACGCTGTGAGAAGTAACAAAACATAACGTTGAAACATCTATTAAGGCTATGGATAATAACTCAGTTGACTTCAGTAGGCTGCATGTTAAAAGACTCAGTGCTAAAGAGGTAACATAAAAAGCATATAAGGGGCTAGTCCGATTAGCACTAAGTGGGGCATCATACTGTGGGTGTTATAAAATAATCCTCGTTTGACTTAGCGATGAATAGGTCAGATAAAGTAGGGAATATGTTTCTTGACCTCAGCATATGAAGGAAAAGTGTGATCAGCATGAGTTAGGTACTCATCAGAGCTGGATAGACTCAGGGACGTAGTACTGACTTGGACCTGGATTAGAACTCAAGACCTTCGGACGAGCAGCCTAGTGCTCTACCGCGTAGGTCAAACCGTCCCGTAATTTGGATGTTACGCAGAGAAGGTTTCCCTTCACCAACCAAACTAAAAAAAAAAAAACACCAGAAGAAAACAAGAAAAAACGACCAAAAAAACCACCCAAAAAAAAAAAACACCAGAAGAAAACAAGAAAAAACGACCAAAAAAAACCACCCAAAAAAAAAAAAACCCCAAAAAAAAGCCCTTACATGATGACTCTGGTTCCGATAGCGGCGATCTCCGGCAGGCTGACGTTGTACAGAGAGTTGTCAAAGACCGGAGCGTTGTCGTTGACGTCCTCCACGTTGACCACAATGGCCACGGTGCCGGAGAGAGGGGGCTGGCCGCCATCTTTGGCGGTCAGCGTGAAGGTGATGACCGACCTGGTCTCTCTGTCCAGCTCCTGGCGCAGCACGAGACTCACCTGTCAATCAAAAGTTGACAAAAATAGATTTGTGGTGGTGATGACGTCACATAGTGCGTGTGTATGCGTATGGTGTGTATAATTTGATGGAATTTAGCCTACTGTAATATTAAAACTGGTTCTTGTAAAAACAAAACGTACGTGTATGGGATACAGCAGTTTTTTTTTATTATAATACTGTCATTGGTTTTAGTGTAAGGCGGACTTATGGTTATGGTTAGTTTAGCGATACTGGCAAACAAAAATAACTAATGAAACGTCCTGCCCAGGATGTAAAATACTATCATAATGAAATGATTTGTAAAATTGTAGTAGTAGATGAATACAAGTTTAACCCATATCCTAATCTTAATCCTTAATATAAATGTATGGTTTAGGTTTAAACTAGAGGTGACAAGTAGGAGTAAACTGAATCAACGTGTTTGGTTTTCTTGGGCCATTTTACAAACAGTATATTATATAAATAAACTACATTTATAACATAACGCTGATCCTGAGCCTAGGTTATACTATCAGTGCTGCTCTCCATATCTAATGTGGGGTATATTTTTTAAGAGAGCCTCTCTGAAAAAAAAACTATTGCCATATGATGGTCTAGCTCAGGGGTCTCTAAACTTTTAAGCCCGAGGGCCGCATCAACAATCAAATATAAGTTCGGGAGCCAGAGTTTCTTTCAGGCATCTCTTCGGGCCGGCGGAGCACCTCCCCCCCCCCCCAAGAAGGTCTACACCCAACAGAATTTATATATATATATATATATATATATATATATATATATATATATATATATATATATATATATATATATATATATATATATATATATATATATATATATATATATATATTTCAAGCGCCCCGTCCCGTCCCCCCCGGCCAGAGAAAAAAGTCTGAAAGAAACACTGTCGGGGACCGACAACACACTCGAGGTCCAAGTTTGTTGTCAAATTGTTCTTCACGTAGGCCTATTTTATTCTCGATAAAGTTTGTATGCTGTTCCAAAACTTGAAAGGTACTTTGATGCAAAAGTTTTAATATTAGGTAAGTCTTTGTTGGGGAAATAATTATAAAACCCACCCGCCCTTATTTGACTTGTCTTTAAGGTGATCATTTGGTGGGAAACTGGCCGCATTTGCTTCAATGGTATTTGCATCCGATGCTACATTTTCAGTTTATTTTGAATTTTTCCTCAGCCACTTCCAACATTTTTTTTTCCGTGGACAAAAAGATCTCCGAGGGCCGGATGAGAGGACCTCGCGGGCCGCATACGGCCCGCGGGCCGTAGTTTGGAGACCCCTGGTCTAGCTTAAAGGTATCAAAGTCCCGTGAGATAAATCCTTACATAAACCCACAATAAAATTACTACATATAGACTGCAATACTTTTTAAATATAAAAATGAAAGCTATAAAGAAAAGAAAGAAAAAACATGAGTGAGATGCAAGAAAGTGCGGAATTTCATTCAAGACTTTGGCTGACTTGAGAACCAGCCAGAATTATGTCCCTTGGGGGTTGTCTTACCGCCTTAAAAATAGAGTTATTTCCCTTTACTGTCTGAATGCATACAAAAACATGCAAAACATATCACGCATGCTCCCGTTATCGTCTCCCCCTCTCATTGCCAGGGGTTACGGGCGGATATAAAATAACAAAGCACCTGAAAGTCGGAGGCTGACCAATGGAAACATTTCCCGGCTAGCATTCTTTTATTGCGGAGATAAATGGGGTTTTGTTCCCGGTGGGACTGCGCATGACCGACATCAAACGCGGAACAAAGGGCAGTGAGAGACAAATTAGAGGTAAAACAATACGGGGGGGAACCGGGCTTAAAAGGGGGAAGGTTAACCAGGGGAGATAAGTAAAGCTAAAGTGATTTCGGGGAGTTATCTTTCCTTGACAATGGAGTAGATTTGCGAAAGTGAAAGTAAATTCAATCGGGGCTTCCCGCTCTTTGGTAGTGATAAAAGCGAGCACAATGGGAATTATTTCTATCTTTTACTGAAAGATTTTTTTTTTTATTTGGATGATAAGCTGAGGACTGGGATGAATGTAGTGTGTGTATGAGTTGAAAGTAAAGTGGCTGAGACTTTGGCGTTAAACCAGTTGTCTCACGTTCAGATGTTTCTTTAAGAAGTCGACGTCTAATGAATGCAAACGATGTTACTGTTAAAAATATCCGGATGGCGGAAAAGTTTATGTTTTATTTTACTTGAACGAATCATATTTCTTTTTCTAGGCCTTAATGGATTGTTTAATCAACTGTCACTTGACAGAGTAGGTAAAGCAGAGTTCAGCAATGAAACTTCACAAATTAATCGTTTGCTAACAAGACTTAAACTTAAACGCACTCAACGAATGAGTTAATAAACTAAAGATTTAACAGTAGCTTAGATGTATGCTTGTATACAAAAGGCATTATTTCTAATAATAGTGTGTGTGTTTATGTGTGTGTATTTTTAACTTCATAGTTTATTACGACCTATGCTCCCGTTGTGACTGGCTAAATGCTAATGCACCTCAAACATTATTTTATGTTGTCTAGGGCTATAACAATACTGTCTGTTCTATATTTATAGAGATACGATATTGTGTGTCTATAAACCTACCACCAGGCCTATTATAACATTGTATCTCTATAACCCTACCACCAACACTGAGTCCCCCCCCCCCCACATCAATACACACAGTTCATAAAAACCAGCCACCCCACGTGACCTAAGGTTACATTAATATGGTAATTAATGATACAGCCCGCAGAGCCAATAATTTCTGATGAGATCCCTATCTCTCAAAAAAAAATTATCCGTCCCCTGATTCCGCTCGCCCCCTATTGCCTTACCCCGACCCCCCCCCCCCCCCGGAGGAACACACCCTGACCACGTGACTATGAATCGATAACGGAGGTCTGACCTGGTCTTCGGTGGAGCAGCATATTGGTCGCGGTAATGGACAGTTACCGTGTGTGTCAGGGGTGGGGGGTAGGGGGGGGGGTCGGGATGGGAAAAGTCTGTTCATTGCCAGGGACGCTCAAAGCACATCAGAGTACCACAACTTCCGCTTGAACAATTTTCCTTAACTAGCACTAGAAGACCGCGTTTTGGAAATGGTGAAATAGTCGTATGGTTGGTTTTTTGATACTCTGATTCACCGGTAGTTAATATTAGTTCAGTATTTAAAACATTAAGCGAGCTAGACATTATAATGGTTAAGCAAAACAATCACTTATCGTTTCAAAAGAAATATCAATTCTAATTCATTCACTATTTAGGCAGATGTCTACAAATTTAATTTTTGTGTTCACATTATTTTGAATGCCATTTTTTAACGCTTTGAACCCCATTCTTTAACGCTTTGAACATAAAGAACATGATCAATTTCTACGTGAATCTACACCAATTTCAATGACAAAAAAATTCTTTCAGACCTATTTGGTCTAAAAGTAACACAAATATCTTTCTAGAAAGTTTTATTTTTTTATCATTTATATATCAACTGCCCCAGAATTCCTGGCGGTTTCCAGAAAGCTCATGCTAGACTCAAGAATAAACAGAATGTCCAGAATCCCGCAGCTGCCCCTAAGATATCAAATTAGGATCAAATCTCGCGAGACAGAACGCGATCTCGGAATGTCTCAGAAGTTTGGCGAGATGTGTCGGCCCTAGAGGCATCCCGGTGCCGTTTGGGTCAAGAATCCTGACGGTAGCGTCCGGTCTGCAGTCTGGGTGTTACGTCATTGACGCGGGAAGGGGAGTGGGGAATGCCGCTGTCAAGCGAGGGACGGGCGGGGATGGTGGGGTGAGTGCACCTGCTCGCATGTGTGGTGGACAACTCACGCGGCTGACCGTTGATGGACAGACGGCTGTCTTGACGCGCGTGAGTGCTGGGGTCACTCAGGAGGTCAAGGATTGTTGTAAGGGGTGGGGATGTGTGGGGGGGGGTAGACGAAAGGAAAAAGTGATTAAGGTTATTTTAAGGAAGGTGTTGTTAGCTCATAAATAGCAGCCATCAAAGCTTTCATAATGTAGGGATAGCTGATCTACAGTTAGCAACAACCAAAGCTTTCATAATGTAGGGAAAATTGATTTACAGTTAGCAACAACCAAAGCTTTCATAATGTAGGGATAGCTGATCTACAGTTAGCAACAACCAAAGCTTTCATAATGTAGGGATAGCTGCTCTTTAGTTAGCAACAACCAAAGCTTTCATAATGTAGGGATAGATGATCTACAGTTAGCAGCAATCAAAGCTTTCATACGGTAAGGATAGCTGATCTACAGTTAGATCTCAATGGCCACTAGAAGCAATCAATTTAAAGATTACACTAATCCAGTTGAGACTCTATTCCTTGTCAGTCGTAATCCAGATAGATAAATCCATTTTAAAATAAACGTTAATTATTTTTTTACCCATCTATTTTGTGAACAAAAAAAGTAATAGATGTAAAGTAATGTTGGCCAATTCAGAATTAATGTGTTTTTCTTTTTATATACAACAGCATTTGTACTGAGCGAAGTAAATCCTGCATCTAATTGTTTTGTAAATTGTGTAAATCTACTTTAATCCACGGCAATCTAGGCAAAAAAACTCTGTCGCCCCTACCTTGCCGTAGGCAGTGTGTAAAACATCAGTCACAAATGACATTTTTTCGAAAGTAAATAAAACACAACTTAGATACGAAAACGCGATAAAGCATTTTTACAAACTGGCGTCATCGCAGTATCTTTTCATGTTTCCCTGCCAATTTTACGCTTCGCGGATCCCGGGCGGAAACTATTTATAGCCGGCGCGCGGAACGTGTTTCGCTTTGTTTTTCTATCGCTCGCTTGGCTGACCGCAGAACGCCAAACTCCGTTTTATTTTCGCCGGGTGCGACGCGATCAGATTTTAATCAACCCGGGGGTCTGTTCTGGGTCTGTCAGGGTTTTAAGAAAACAGTTCGCGTTTTCTTAACGTTAATTTTTGTTTTTGGATGACGCGAAATTTAGAATTTGACACCTTAAA